ACTCCTGGCCCATGCCAGCCGACATGCCGCACTACCTCGACAGCTGCCCCGAGGTAGCATCATCCAAGAAGAAGACAAGGAAAATTAATTTTTTCTTACCTCAGTGCGGCATGAAGAAGACGAAGAAAGCAACGAAAGACGGTCCTTTGCACGGGCAAGATGTGGAAAATTGCTAGATGAGGGGGAACAAATATCCTCTAAGCTATCTCTCTCTTGTAGGGTAGAATAAATCGCTCTCCAAAGTTGATTTAATAACCCACTTACGGTGGACTTAAATAGGCTTTGAGAGAAATTTATTTCTCTTTCCTAGAAGGATCTAATTTCCTATTAAAGAGAGAATCTACATCAAAATAGGAAGCAATCACACGTTTCCTAAAGCAAGATGATCTCTACACCTGTTGCCCTTTCCTACGAGCAACCCAACAGGTGTGGGGGCATTGTGGAGCCAAAAATAATCACAAGGTGACACGTGGATTCTTGGGTAAAAGAGGACAAAAATACCCTTGAGGCATACTGGGATTCCTACGCGCGAGCAACGGGCAATCATCCCTAAACCAAGTCAAAAGTGCCCAAAATAGGTAACAATTTAAAGCCTATTTCATCAAATCCTTTCTATAAGGTAATTCCTAAAACCTAATTTATTCTATATATTTTGTATTCCATTATTTAGCTAATCAATTAGCTAAATGATATTTTCCTTTCATATTCTCTAAAAATTGATTAATTAAGGGATTAATTACCTAATCAATCCCTTAATTATCAATTAAAACACCATTCACACCTAAAACTACTATGAGGCCGGCCACCTCCCTTTTCCTAACCTTTTTCACTTTTCTCCATTTTATTACCCCATTTATACAAATAATCAATTTTGTAACTCCTAATTAAACCTAAATTAAACCCAAAAAACCCCAGCCACCTCCTATCCCTATAAATATACTCTCATTCTCACCAAAAAAGCCAATTCCAACACTTTGGCAAAAATCCCAAAATTCTCTAAACACTCTTTCTCTCTAAATTCTAACTTTAGCATCGAAGGTTCTTCGGCCAAAGCCCCCCCCATTCATCGTGGGCGTGTGAGGCTCTTGGCCTTAACTTAAGGTGTTAATTGTTTTGTAGGTGCAAAATTGTCCAAGATCAAGGAGGAAGAAACTTGCATCCACATCATTCATGTTATAACATCTAAATTTGTTGATGCACAAAACCGGAGGGGTCTTGGAACAACGTAAATCCGATCGTGAATCTGCAAGAAATGTAAAGAACACAAGATGTATCGTGGTTCACCCCAATGATTGGGTTACGTCCACACTGATGTGATTGTATTTCTCTGTAAGAGCCTCGCTATAGAGATATAAGGCTTGAGGTTTGTGAGGGTGAGGAGGCCCTTTTATAGACTAAGGGCTCCTCCCCTTTTTACATATTTACTCATTCATTTATTACATAATTACATTTGAGTCCCCCGAGTATTTATACGAGATCTAAATACGGAGGCCCTAAGTATGGTACAAACATTAGTTCCCCAAGTCTTCAGTTAAGAAAGTCTTTTGGCTGGAGACTTGAAATTCAATCCATGTGTGGGCCGAAGTAACTAGATGTCATATATAACTGATACTCTATATGAGGCGATGCCCAATCCGAAATGATGCTCAACCAGAAATAGCATATGTTGCGAGACTGCTCTGCTTGTGACTTATGTTGCCTTGGTTGGCTCGACTTGTGGCGTTTGAAGGTGAGTGAGTCCTTTTTATAGAATAAGGGCTCGCTCCTCAATACATGAATGATAGGCTAGAGTTGATGCTTTCTAATGATGGTGAGGGAGTCCCTTTTATAGAATAAGGGCTTGCTCCTCAACACATAAATAATGGGCTAAGTCCCCCAAGTATTTTTTATGAGGCCCAGTTGCGGAAGCCTAATATATGGTGTACAGTGTAGTCCCCCAAGTCTTTAGTCAACAGAGTCTGTTGGTTGAAGACTTCAAATTGAATCTATGTATGGGCCGAAGTGGCGGTTGTTCGGAGGCGGTATTTGTATACCCTGCACTGAAGCTTTGTAGGTGAAGCTTTGCAAGTGAAGCTTTGAAGCTGGAGCTTTTGTAAATGAAGCTTTCGAAGATGGAGCTCTGTAAATGAAGCTTTGGAAGCTGATTGACATGAGTGATGCTCATGAATGTTTATGTATGATTGACATGAGTGATGCTTATGTATAATTTTGGAGTACTGGACGTACTTTTGATCACCTAGTGGGTGATAATAGCGGCTGGCTGCCAAATCATTTTGGAGTACTGGGCGTACCTTTGATCACTTGGTTGGTGATAATAGCGGCAGGCTGCCGAATAATTTTTAGAATACTGGGCGTACTTTTAATCACCTGGTTGGTGATAATAGAGGGCTGGCTTTTTTGGGCATATGGGCATTTGCCCTCCACATAACATTCCAGCCCATTATTTTGGGCTTGCCGTTTTTTTTTTTTATTATTATTATTTTATTTTTATTACCCTCTGATGGGGTTATACAGATGTCTTCGAAAGGATAAGAAAAATAAATCACATCATTCTGGTGGGGTGTTTATTCCTTGCTTTTGCTTTCTGCTTTTACTTTGTTTTTTCTGCTTTGCTTTTGCTTTCTTCTTTTCTTTTTTCTGCTGCACCTATCTCTGTCTCTTTTCACCTCCAGACATACTTTTTCTTTTTATCTTCTTCCTTTAATTCTTTTTCTGAAATATTCTTTCAACAACATCATTCTACAACCCACGTTTAGCTCATCCTCCGGTGAAAAGCCCGCCATTAACGAGATCGAGCTTCATGGGGTCCACCACGGAGAGCACGGCGTCTACGGCCATCGACGCGAGCAGAGTCGGGTACTGGCTCACCACCTTGCTGTTGAGCGATGTGCTTGTAGACTTGACAAGCGAATCACGGTCCATGAGCTTGACGGGGACGGCCATGGTAGTCAAGACGTCGACTGCAGTAGCTCGCCCATCTACTTCAGCGGCGATGCTACCTTTGATTCCCAAACCAACGCATACTTGTAATGTGCACAGGAATATCCAAGCTGTGTTCAAACGGGGACGGAAAATGGGACTTGGGAACTCGGTTATGATGGTGATTTTTCTTGTTCTTCCAACTCGAAAAACGTGTTGCAGAGCACCCAATCAGCTTTATCAACATTGGAAAACTGACTCCCAACCATGTTATAGACAGCTGGGTAAGACCCAAAATCATAGACAAATGATGGCATGTCCCAAGGCTCAAGTGGTGGCAACCTAGGAACCAAAATTTGAGACTGATCACTGAAAGGAAGTTTAAGCAGTCCTCTGTGGACATGGTAGTAAATGTTCCCAGCAGCACAAGACTGAGTGAACTAACACGCTGCAACCATACTCCGGAGATCCAGAGCTGAACTGGCCAAACCCATAATCTTCCAGAAATTAAGTGCTTGAATGAAGAACGTAGTGAAAAAGGTCCAGCTGGACGGGGACGTCAGGGTTCTTGGTCGGCAGCTGCGAAGCTAAGTCCGCTGGAGAAAAGAAAGTGCCATGCCCGACTTTCGTCATGATCTCGAGGAGGTCGAACTCGAGGGCTGTCTTGAGCACCATGGGGAAAGCAGGGGCGTTGGCTAGCTGCATGGCGAAGAGGTTTGTTTCTTCGTCGGAGACTTGGGTTGGAGTCATCTGAGTCTCTCCAGTCGAACCCATTTTTTGGATTTGGTGTTGGTAGGGAGAGAGAGCCTGCGAAGGTTTCCTGGAGAAGCCAAAGAAGGAGGTTTTGGGTTCTTAGGTTGTGCAAATTCTGCAGATTTTGCAGATTCACGGTAATGGTGAAAAAATGAAAGAGAACCGACATAGTTTTTCGTGTCGATTCCCACAGACGGCGCCAAATGTTGATGCACAAAATCGGAGGGGTCTTGGAACAACGTAAATCCGACCGTGAATCTGCAAGAAATGTAAAGAACACAAGATGTATCGTGGTTCACCCCAATGTTTAGGCTACGTCCACACTGATGTAATTGTATTTCTTTGTAAGAGCCTCTCTATAGAGATATGAGGCTTAAAGTTTGTGAGGGTGAGGAGGCCCTTTTATAGACTAAGGGCTCCTCCCTTTTTTACATATTTACCTCTTTATTTATTACATAATTATATTTGAATCCCTCGAGTATTTATACGAAATCTAAATACAGAGGTCCTAAGTATGGTACAAATAAAATTAATAACACCACCACTTACTATGCGACGCTGGCACTCAAAATTTTCACGATATTTGAAAGATTGAGTGGCCTAAAATTTCGAAAGTAGGTGCTCTAACAAAGTAGAATATGCTGTCAAGTACTATAGCTTGGTTCGCTGAAGGGACTTGTTTCTGACAAAATTCGGTTCCAAGTCCCACCAGAGCTTGAGATTGGAAGTTCAGCAATAATAGGGAATCAAGCTGCCTAACAAAAAGATTCCACAATCAAGGAAATAAATAAGATGGAAAGCAAACATACAAGTAATTTGCAAGAAAATAGCCTCCAACATTTTGAAGACGGTAACACCAAGTGACAATGCAACCGGGGTGCTATGAGTCCACAAAATCCACGTGTGCTCGATCAAAACCTATCATTAGTCCCCGACTGTTGTAAATGGTCACTTTAAAACTAGAATTGATAATTTACCCGATACAAAGCTGTATGGTAAGTTAAAAGGAAGAAAGCCGACAATGAGTGGAAAAATAAACGACGAAAATATTTGGATCAGAGATACGAAAAACGCAAAAGAAAACACTATTAATGTCGTACCTCAGAACGAATGTTGATTGAATTATAGTGATGTGGTGTTATACAATCAACTTCTTATTTTGTTGAACCAATTAACTTGGCTACAAATGGCTGAGGTCTATCTCACAACAACACGAACTGGCCACGACACTTTATCTGAAGTTCACTTTCAGCTGGTTTCAGTGTTGCGACCATTATGACATACAGGGAGGGTACCCTAGGAGGTAGTTACATATTTACATCGAAAACCTAGGCTACAGACTTGAGAATGACATTCAACACAGATTCTCGAGTTGGCAAAGCCGGAATAGCACCTCTCTCCGTCACAGTCAATGCACCGCAAGCGTTAGCAAACACGAGCGCATCTCTCAGTTTGTCCTCCTCCTACATTTCAAATCCAGATGGCCACTCTCTTTAGGTTGACAGGCATAAACCATTGTTATAAAACATAAACAATGTAGGATATAACTTCAAACACTGTATTTTCAATCAGAAATTGGGGACTCACACGGAAAATTACCGCACATCAATCAACAAAATGGACGACAAAATAGGGTTTAAATGCAGATCAGTACATGCTAAAATCTAGTCATTAGTAAAGAAGCTCTACCACTATCCAACATTATGTATATAATTTGAGAATTTCGATAGAGTTGTTCCCAAGTCATATGATGAATAACAAATACGTCTGGAACATATAACGTTGAAACTATCTTCTACAACTCAGAAAGGCAACATCGACTGTACTCTGTTGTTTTAGGAAATGAATTCCTCAAGTTTAAAGTTTGTACCTGTTTAAGATTTAAATAGATAGGGTGATCCAGCTGCCTAGTTAATTAGGAAAGGATTTCCAAGATAACTAGTACATAGAGGCTCTAATCCCTTTTCCTTCCAAACATCCACCCCAACCCCCACCCTCCCCTCTCCCTATGATTTCTGCAATGCTAGAGGCCGTCGTCTGTATGAGGAACCTTCGTCTATCCATATTCATGAGTTTTTAGTTCATATTATTTGCTGATTTCCTCATCATGCGCAGGGTAGTGAAGCTACTAGAAATATATAATTATGCAATTAAGTTTTGACTGGAAGAAGGCCTCGTTTGGTAAATTGGAAGGGAATGGAATGGATAACTCTTCAATTTCAGGGAAAATTGAAGGTAGAAGATAATGATTTTTCATTTAGAGGGGATTAGAGATGAAGAAAACTCATTCCTTATAATCCTACCATTTTGGATAGGACTGGAATGGATACCCTTTCTTCATGAGTAATCCATCTTCCATCCTGTAGTCGGTCATATTTTTTTCATTTCTCCCTTCAACATTCCTTGATTTAGGGAGTTATCCAATCCAATCCTACATACCACACGAGCCCAAAAATTCTATCAAGTTTTGTGTCCAAGATGCAGTACCTGAAGCAAAGAAAGATCAACAGCTAGTTGTGATAGTATTCCAGCCACAAATGCGTCCCCAGCACCAGTTGTGTCCACTGCATCTACCTTCATACCCTTGACTCTTCCACTGAACAACTGCAAATACACATATAATGTGCGGTTTCAGATACACAAACTCTGGGAAGAGAAGTATATTGCTGTCATCCTAGCTGCTCAACAAAATCCCATCAATTTAAAGAATCTTAAATAATAACATCTAATATCTACTGATCCAAAAGAACCCCTTTAAAGCCTCAATCAATAACTTTGCCAGTAGCTTTTGAAGATTACTGGTAAATATCATGAAGACAGGGAGCCACAAAAGTTCAGTCTGATGCCAGTTCACCCTTCCCTTGATACTCCATATTTCGGTGCATGATGCATGCACGTGCGCACGCACGCGCGCGCACACATACACACACAGTCTCTCCCAAGCATATCTCGTGTTATTCGTTTCTGTTATTAATTATAAGTTTTTTATCTCCATACTTAAAGCTTACTTCTATTTCAAATGAATCAAAGAACATTTGTTTTAATTATCATTCAAAAAGGTTTGGTGAAGTATCTACCGTTTAAATAACTCTACATATTTCAAAAATTAAAGAAATGTAAATTCATTCTATTTTCTTAATCAATATATCTTCCTTTTTTATGAGAAACACAAATTTTATTAAGAAATAACTGAACCAAGTACAGGAAATATGGACGAGAAGCAACTAATTACAATCAAATTTGACATTTTATTTTGACATCTACATTGGACATGCTCTTAGATACCTAAAGCAACAGCATCACATCAAAACCCAATAGGCAACTGATTACAAACTACCCCCAAATCCAGAAATGTATGGAAAAAATGCTCAAGGAGAAGCAAGCAGTCTAAATCTATCCTAAACTGATGCTACATGGTATTCACTCGAGAATCAAATTAATTTCTTTTACTGAGATTACTAATAAAATCAACTAATTCACCAAAATTGATATATAATCACTTTACAGCATCATCAATTTTAAACTGTGCAATTAATACATTCATCATTTCTTGCATATACTTCCAACATATACCAGACACTCTTACAAACTAACTGAATAGTTCACGGAAGATTATAATATACTCTAAGATTCACATGTTATAATGCATGAGGCAATGTGTATTTGAGATTTCCAGAGAATATCACATGAGAAGAGCATATTTGAAAACTTACCTTGGTGTAGTACCTGCAACCATCAGGGCCCTCAGTGACCAGAAGTAATTTAGATTTGGATGGTACAATTTGCGAACAACATTTTCATCATATGGATCTTCTCCTTCTGTTAGAAAAGAAACCTCTTCTTCACTTATCTGAAAAACAAATAATCAAATTTTCTGACGCAATATTTCCAATTTCTTTTAGCACTTCCCCTTTACCATTTCACAAAAGGGACAATGAAAATCAAATATGACCCTACAGGTGCATAATCTGCATATTTAAAGGTTTAATTACCTTGATAACATCAGCAGTATCCCATATACTCAAAATTCCTTCTCTAGCACTCTTTGCAGAAGGCCACAGTGGAAGCCTGAGGTTGGGATCGTAGGACAGAACTACACCAGCGTCCCTTGCAGCTTTTGCTGCTGCAATATGAGCCGACTTGCATGGTTCCGTGATAAGACTTATAGAACCATAATGTAATATTTTTGCCTGCCACAGCATGGTCGAGACAGACTTTGAATATTACTATAAAGAAAACAACTACCAAGTCAAATAAAAAAATAAACGGAGAAACTCAGCAAAATAAGATCATGTCAGACAGGCATGCAATTTGATATCCAACAATAAGAAGGGCCCAACATGTGGTGACCTAAATGAAACACACTGATACTGGAGTCTGCAGCCGTCATGATGTCTAAGGTGCATCAGTGTAAGTGGGTCTGGACTGTGGAATAAAGAGTTCAAATTAAGTATCCTTCTCATGTGAGGTGTACTATGCTCAATTGAAAAGTCAGTTTAGGCTTACCAGTCTTTAATCAGATGATATACCATGCAAGATAGTTAGTTCCCTAGACATTTCCCTTATAAGATATATTTATCTTTGCCTTCTTTTGACTCTTTACAATTATAATCGTCAGTGTTATTTAACTAATAATAGCAACTGTTTCGTACCTTCCTAATTAAATCAAAATCAAGTTCAGCTTCTTGAAGCAACATATCAGCACTAGGATTACGATAAAACATGAACTCACGTTCCCCATCACTCCTCAATGTAACAAATGCTAAAGCAGTTCGTGCACCGGGATCAAAACGCATCCCTTCATTGTTCACATTATTCTCCTTTAGTATATCAGCAAGCATGTATCCAAATTCATCTTCCCCAACCTGCAGGCAAATTATAAATATAAAATACCTGAAAGGATAAGATTGTCCTGATTACAAGATTTTATAAAACAGTAAAGAATTGGCACAACACAAGAAAACTAGTTTTGTTTTTGTTTCACCACTTTAATGCATAAGAACAACTAAGAAGTAATATAACAGCTGAGAAATACAATAGAAAATTAGGTTGAAAGTGTATTGTACGCTTTTAACCTAATTTGTACAAGCTTCCACGAATGCGAGGTAGACTATGATATTTATAATTTTATTGTACGTATGCATTAAGGTGACAAGAAAAAGGACCAAGACAAAGGAAAATGATCCGTTAAACCTTCAGAAAGATAAAACTAAAATTAAAATATGAGGTGGGAGAAAGAAGGGAAGACTGATGTCAAGTGGCCAAATTATTATTTAATGACTCAAAACATTAAGTAACTGTGGACTTCATCTAAAATCCAGAACAACAAGAATATGGATACATGTGTTTGAATTGATACCTTTCCAATAAAAGCTGATGAGCCACCAAGTCGAGCTATGCCAACTGCAACATTAGCAGGGGCTCCTCCGGCAGCTTTTTTAAATGCAGGTGCTTCAGCCAATGAAAGTCCATTACTCGTTGGGACAAAATCAGCATTTCCCCAAAACAAACCACAAGGGAGGATTCTTTTGTGTCCGGTAGTGCATCTCCTGCAAATGCTTTTCCTAAAATATTTTACAAAAGAAAACTGTGATGTAAAGTAAGCAGAAAACCAAAAGCTGTATGGTAATGTCACTCGTGATCCAAGTCATATGCAAAGTCGTAGACAATTAGTGAAAACTAAGAAAGCACAAACTCAGTGTCCTAATTACAGCAACCAAGAACAATGTGTAGAATCCAGGACTTGAGTTCAGCAAATTCATGGCGTGCTAATGTACTAAACAGTGACATCAAAATGGAGCATGAATGCATCAGCAAAGACTTCTAAAAAAGGGGACAATTTGGATACCTATAGAAAATCAAGAGTAAAGGTGGAATTAAGAAAAAGTCAACACAGTTTGAGATGGAGTCGAGACAATTATGAGCAGATCAAAACATCACCTGACCTCTAGCGTACTTCCAGGTTTTGGTTAGGGTTAAAGAGACTAAACTAGGATCAGTTCTTGACCCCCAAACATAGAGGTAGCATGTGCCTACAAGTCCAAGAAAGTCAAAATAGTACAGGATATGTCTAGGATCCTTAGGAGTAACTAATACCCGGATGGACATTAAACAGAACAATAAACAATCAAAACAGGAAAACCCAGGGTGACTAAAACTAAAAGCTGTCCTGGTATACAAGGACATTGGCTGGTGAACCAGCCACACTCTAGGTGGACTGAAGGTTTTTTTTTGGGAACCTGATACCCCTGGCCATCCAAAGATTTCAGCAGTCGACCAAGATAACTCAGCTACCACGGCATTTAGGTGCACAAAGGGTTTTTTACCGGTAACTCATCCCCTTCGACTATCTTTACAAACTCAAACTTCGTAGGTATTTGATACGTTGACCATGCGCTGCTGGCTTTGTTTGAATTTAAATGCCCCTATAACTCTCAGAAGAAAGCAACACCAAGGGAGTGATGCTCCTCTCAACAGCTTTCGCTTGAATTGCCAAAGATAAAGATAATAAAATCGGACATATATAGAGCGAGACAAAGAAATCATCTCACATATCTAGTCAACAAGAACCAATAATAACAATGCGATTCTAACATTCATGATCCAAATACCCAAATAAAAATAATGATCAGAAATACGAATAATGCCACCCAATAAATTCCAAACTTAGACCACATGATAGCTATAAACAACGAACAATTCACACAGTATTCCAGTCCAATCCAATCCAAGAATATCACAAAACCCCCTTAAAGTATATAATAATTCAGCAAAATAACTAGATAACAAGCAAAACCAAACAAAACCCATTTCCCAAAGATGCTGATAGAACTCAGACACCAAAGCATTACCTTGGACATTCGATCTAGCAATGGAGGAAGAACCGAGAGGCGGTGGGGAAGAAAATGCAGAAGCTCTGACTGTCCTCTGACTAAAAGAAACCGAATTGCGAGGCAAAGAAACCACCCCGCCGAAGCAGAAAGCAGTGGCATGAAGAGCCATCAAAACAATCGCAGACCCAGAAGAGAATTCGAACCAGTTGATATCTTCCAAAGTCGATTTTGCTCTGAAGCTCTATGTGGAATGGAAAATGGCAGCAGCGGAGAGGGCAAAGCAGGAGTGTAGTAGCGTAATGGTTGTCGCCTAGTCATGCTTCTCTTTGGAGTGCCGATGACGATGATGAACTTTGTTGTTCTACTTGGTCCCACCCTTGTAAGCCTTTGTTTTGTTGGGACAAGGTTGTCTGCCATCCACTTCTAGTACCTTTCTCGTGCCCTCATGTTTGTGTGGTCACGGTTAAGTCACGTCAATATTTTATATTACTATTTATTTTTGTCTTATTATATCTATAAAAAAACAATATAAATGTTAACGTGGCTTAACCGTGCGTGACCACACAAAAGAAAAGGGCATGAGAATGGCACCAGAATTGAAGGGCAGACATTCCTTGTCCCAACAAAACAAAGGCTTATAAGGGTGGGACCAAGTAGAACAACAAAGTTCATCATCGTCATCGGCACTCCAAAGAGAAGCATGACTAGACAAGGTTGTCTGCCCTCCACTTCTAGTATCTTTCTCGTGCCCTCATGTTTGTGTGATCATGGTTAAGTCACGTCAACATTTTCTATTACTATTTACTTTTGTCTTATTATATCTATAAAAAAACAATATAAATGTTAATGTGGCATAACCGTGCGTGACCACACAAAACAAGAGGGCATGAGAATGGCACCAGAATTGAAGGGCAAACAATCCTTGTCCGTTTTGTTGCCATGTGTATGACGAATTCTATTCCATCATCTGTACTATTCTCACCAGACAAAATTTGATTTACAATTGGTTATTCCATCAACACTAGCATATTCATATTGATTAATGCTACACATATCAAACTTTTAAATCAAATTTATAAATCAATGACGTGTCATTAATAAAAAATAATCATGTTAATCAACGCTTAAGTGATAATTTAATCATTATCAATCACATCATTTGGTTTAACAAATTTGGTCTCCTAGCATAATCCATTCAGAAAACATCCGTTTTTATAGAAACTTTTCCATGTTCTGATGTATGTGATGTACGAGTCAAAATTAAAAATGAGTTTTTAGAGAGTAATTTTTTGGTGTGTCAGGAACACAGTTCAGTACACTAAGTGTCATAATACAAGTGGTTGGATAATTGGAAGAAAAAAAATTCTAACAACTTGTATTATGGTAATTGGTGTATCAGTACATGTTGTGACAACCCGTCCCAAATTTTACAATTTTATCAATTTTAAAAGTGTGAATTGACGAAAATGCCCTGGAGGCGAGAACTTTGACTTCCATTGACCATCGTCTAGAGGAACGTATGACTTAATCTTTTGGTGTACTCGTGTAGTACTCATTGGTACGAACACATAGGCAAAAGCGGTTCACGAGTCCGGATTATAACGGTATAGTCACGGACATTTGAATTTGGTTATTTATATTTTGGATTATAGATTAATTGAACTCCCACCTTATGGGAGAAAAGCCCAATCAGATTTATGTTGAATAAGTGACCAATCAAATTTTGAAAGGGAGAGAAAAAGGACCAATTAGGAGAGGAGAGAGAAGCTGAAATCTTCCCCCTCTCATTTTGTCAACCCGCGCTCACCACCAACCCGGTTTCGACCCGGGTTTGCTCATCTTCTCCGACAATTTTTGTCGGTCTTAACCATGTCCAACAAACACCTGGAATCAACTTCCTAGCCTTCCCTCTACCATTTTCACTCAAAATCAAATGAAATTTAGGTGTAGTTTGGTGAAAAACTCACCATGGGTGCCGCGGGAAACCTTGCCGAGATTCACCATTTGTGAAACGATTTCATTCAATTACCACCACCATTACACTCCCCTTGAGCTTTGGAACAAAGCCCAAGCATTGGTTGAGGTGTTGGTACGGTTTTGGAATCGAATTGAAAACACCATTTTCTAGGGTTTCTGGCGGATTTTAACAAAATTGAAGCTCTTCCCGGCCAAAGGGCGTGGTCACAGGTATGAAAGTTACTCTACTCATTGAGATCTTCATTCCTGTAAATTTTGGTAATTTTTTTAAATAGTTGGATTTTCCGGCGAGTCGAGGCGGCCAACCGCCACCCACGGCGGCGTGTGGCCAGGGGGCCGTCGATGTCATTCTTAGGCTAGATTACATACTTTGAGTTCAGTCTTGGTAATTGCATGATATAGGTTGATGGTTGGAACCTAAATTCTCTGCGATATGTTAATTGGTAAAAGTGTGAATCGACGATTCGACTGTTGGATCGTCACCAAACTTTAATACATTATAGTACGTAATATTTGAGAACCATAGAAACTTACGGATCAGGAATCCGATGTACGGATCTTCCCGAATTGGATTTGTAAGTTTATAAAATAAATGTTAATCGTCACTTAGTTTTAGGCAATTGACGGAGATCCGACCGTTGGATCATAATGAAATTTTAGTATGTTATTCTAGAAGCATAATGTGGATCTTTGAAAGTTGCGGATTGGAAATCTGATATGCGGATCTTCCGGATCGTGTTTACAGGGTTGTAGACCCAATCGTCGATCAAAGATCGACGGTTGACTTATGGTCAATGGGTCTCAAACTATTTTAGAATGTCCTTGAGGATGTGTTTTATGTGAATTACGTATTCTATTGATAAGAGTTCTGAGATGTGATTCAATAATTGTTCTAGGCGCCAATCATTCGGGACGCCTTGATACGCGTGCTAGAGAATCATAAGGTGGACTCCAGGTGAGTGGGTCTTTTCTTTTTATCATAGGTATATAATTGATAGTTCCACAAATGCTTCTAAAGTGAATTATGCATGTTACCTACAATTAATTATTGTGAACGACGAATGGCTTGATCCCTCTTTAGGGTACGTAGGCAATATAACAAGACGTTAGATGCAACCATACAATAAATGAGACTAAATAACTGAGACAATAGCCTTGTTTAGGGAATTGAGTAATGTGAGGGACATTGGTGGAAAAGATAAGATTTAACCTTATGATTTGGTGGTTAAATATTGGTCATAAATTAATGTATGAAGAATCAGGAATTTGAAGTAAGAAAACGTAAGTAATGATAGTTAATTAAACTAGTATCTAGTTGGGCTTATCATTGATAATTATCTCCGAAAATAAGTAGTTCGGGAGTAGGGCGTTACGGATTATGCATTTTATGCCATATTATATATATATATATATAGGAATACTATGTTATGGTTGAATTTTGATTGCATCATGGCATATTCATATGTATATTACCTGCACGTAATCATTGTAAATACTTGGAAGCGCGAAGGTAAACTCAGGACACCCAGGTTAGTTTAGGTGAGTTTATGGTATTAGTTGACATGATGGGGTTATGACATGACTATATTATGTCTTAAGCAACCCTGACACTGTCGTGCAGGTTGCTCATGAATCATACATGTTATGTTGAGATGCATGGAGAGCTCATAAACTTGCACCCCGATGTTAGTGCTCCCGCTCGTGGCCAGGGCACAGTCATTCACGTGATGTTCATCTCCCGCACCTTACGCTTACCTTGGATCCAAGGTAGGTGCACAGTCCTGTCGTACAGACCACTATAAGTGGTTTCGACTCGTAGGTGACCCGCGATTATTCGCACAGTCTTCACGTGATCGTAGCACTTGAACGTATTTATTTACACACAGTCATGTCGTACAGACCACTTTAGGTGGTTCCGACTCTTGTGCGGGTATACTTATTGAGCTATGGATAAGTTGTACAAGTCACTAGAGGTGACTCCGACTTGTAAGCTAGCATATGTGATGAATATGTGATGAGCTAGCATATGTGATGAATATGTGATGAGCTAGCATATGTGATGAATATGCGATAAATATACGATAAGCTAGCATATGTGATGAATATGTGATGAGCAAACATATGTGATGAATACGTGAGAAGCTAGCATATGTGACGAATGTGTGATAAGTTAACATATGTGATGAATATGTGATAAGCTAGCATATGTGATGAGATATGTGATAAGCTAGCATATGTGATGAAATATGTGATGAACTAGTATATATGATGAGATATGGGTAAGTCGTACAGGTCACCATAGGTGACTCCGACTTGTGTACTAGTATGAGTTATTAATCACATGATTATTTGATATTGTTGACGAGATGCTATGTGTGTGGTATATTTATGATTTTTTTCTGGAAATTATACAGGTGTTGTAGCGAAGGATTATAATGTTTTATATGGTTTCTATTAAAATTTTATTTACAGGGCTACTCACCCTTGTCTTGTCTTCACCCTCCAGGCCTTATTAGTTGAGCTTTCTTATCGTCGAAGATTCGTGGCGATTCTTAGTATTGGAGATTATTTCGAGGGTACGATTCTTAATTCACTATTCTGTACTTGCTTATGCTCTAACGTCACGTGTGAAGTGGGTTCATTCCCGCTCACCGATGCACTCTGGTATTTAGGCACTCTTAGGTTTAAATTTATTCACATTTTTCCACATCATCGCATTTTATGGCTTCGTCACCTTCTAGGTGTCGGCCAACACAGCTCGATTCGGAGTTCTAGTGGACATTCCGGGTCGGGATGTGTCACATGTTCTCGGCACACTGAAAAATCTCGACACTTATTTATGAATCGAATTTTCTCGTTTGGATTCATAAATATAGAAATTTAGAATTTTCACGTGAAAAAAAAAACTTGAAATTTGGGACCTTCAATTCCTAAGTTTAAATTCTATGTAAATAGGTGACTTTTCCAAATTTTTATGAGTGAGACTTCAAAATTAAAAAATTTCGTGTTCAAATTTCATTGTACTTTTAGTTTATCTAAACAATAAAATTTACAAATTCTTGAAAATGAAATTCTGTCATTTAAACAAAAATACAATATTCATTAAAAAGGAGAATACGTACAAAGGAAGATGATAATGTGCATTGATGATAGGACCCTTTTATCTTTGACAATGATAATCCTGTTCTCCTGCAAAGTTTTGTTCATGCAACGATTTCATTTTGATTTCTGTCGTTTTGATCTGAAATTTTCTTATACAAACACAATATTAGTATTATAGATTTTGCAGGATTTCATGAAGTTGTGGATTTATTTGAGAATAGAAAAGTATACATACCAAAGGCAACAAACAATCGCATCATTCCCCCAAAGATTTAATTGGATTCTCCTACAATGAATTCATAAACTCTGTTATTCCCCGGTGTCCTCCATAACTTGGCATTACTGGCAAATTGGCCTGAATCGGTTTAGTTTTATGTCAATTCGGGTATTGATATTTTCAGTCCAACTCGTTTTTTTTTTTTCTCGTTTGATCTAATTTTTCAGTTTATTGATTTTATGTCCGCCCCTAATTGAGAAAATCTAGATAAAAAAGAATCGAGAATCTTCATTAACCAACGAAGAACTTACACAAAGCTGTTAATACATTCTCAGTAAAACACGTATTACTTTAATTATTAACATATTCAAGCTTATTTTCAACCGATTCACTAATTCCATACATCCAATCCAAATCATTTTCTTCCTACTTTTAACATGAACAAATTGGTGGAATTTGTCAAACTCCTAGTCCATCAAAGAAAATCCACACTCTTTCTCTCCTCCTGATTTTGCGCGCAGAGTAATTAAATTTCCGTAGCATAAATATTACTTAATTTCCTTCCTTAAAACACACGGCATATGCTTACGTCAAAATTATGTAAATATTTGACCTCTGCACTTATTTCCACATTTATTTCCCTTCACACTACGCGCTTTCTTCTCCCGTCAAAAATCCCTCGCTTTACTTCTTTCTATCCCCCAACTGTATACGTATCTCTACGGATTCGCCGCACAGAATCCCCTACGCCTCAATTCACGCCCACTTTCCACGTGTCTACCTGCGAATCGCTGTGTACCTCACAAAAGTCCAACCTTTGCAAGAATCTTGAAAATTCTCACATTTTAACCGTTCATTGTACATCGTGCAGTTAGAAATTATTTTAAATTGAATAATAATAATACTTGACGAAAACTAACGCATAATATACGATAAATGAACAAAATTTGAGGATTCTCGAGATCCTCCTGGCAAAGAAAGAGCTAGTAAATTCCAGGTGTACTAGGTCGGCCCGCACTCGATCACCGCCTCATAATTCACGCGTGAAAACTTCTGAGATCGCCTGTATATATATCTCTTGTTAGTCAAGCAATCAAACGGAAACAGAAGAAAATCTGAGAATTCTAAATCCTAATTCTCTCTCTCTCTTACTCTCTCACTGTATTTGCTGCGATGTCGAAGAACGATTCGATTTCGAAAGGCTCGGGAATCGGCGCCTCCGGCTCCATGGAGGAGCTGAAGAAGATCTTCAACAAGTTCGACAAGAACGGCGACGGCAGGATCTCCTGCGACGAGCTCAGGGGCATTTTCGGCGAGCTCGGCTCCGAGACGGCCTCCCTGGAGGAGGTGCAGCGCATTATGGCGGAGTTCGACAAGGACGGCGACGGCCACATTGACATTGCGGAGTTCGCCGAGATCATCAATGGCGGATCCACCAAGGAGCTTCGCGACGCGTTCGACCTATACGACCTCGACAAGAACGGGCTGATCTCCAAAAGTGAGCTGCACGAGGTGCTGAAGCGGCTGGGGCAGAAGTGCTCGCTCAAGGAGTGCGCGAAGATGATCGGCTCCGTCGACGCCGACGGCGATGGCCACGTAAACTTCGCCGAGTTCAAGAAGATGATGACTCGAAACTAAAAGCGATCGGATCGGTAAAGCAAACAAAACTGTAGAAAAAACAAGATCAGTATTAATTAGCTTTAAAATTAGAGTTTAATTAGGGATTTGGATTGAAGTGTACACAAATATTGGAGCATTATTGGTTGCTAACTGATCGTCTTTTCGAATATTTTTCTGGTTCGTTCTTATTTTGCTTAATTTTTGAAAATTTTTAATTTTATTTTGTGTTTTATTGTTTGGTTCTTTTTGTTGAATTTGTCATATTTGGTTTTTAATTATTTTATTTATTTATTGTGTTGGTAGATATATTGTGCAAGTGGGTGGCCGTAACAAAAGGTTGGGTGGCATTAATGATAATTGGGTGGCGTTGCCGTGTTTGGGATGGGGAGTGGTGGTTGTACCGAATATAATACGCATATGGTCATGTGGTCATAGCTGACCTCAACGCGGAATTGGGCTTTTGATGTTGGTCCCATGGGTCGTGGATACTGGATGACCGTTCGATTGAAGACACAAATCGTGCTTTTTGTGTGCATTTTGGTTGCTCTGTACTCCTTCTCGTCCTATTTATCTTGTTCGGACTCAAGAATATTTTCTCAACGAATAATTAATTATATTTTTTATAACTTTTTGTTAAAAATGTGGTAGCATGCTTTCTAGTAAAACTATCGACCCCAAGATCTTGGAGGGGAAGCCGAGTTTCGGGATAATGCTTTCTAGGAAATTGATGTTGTTTGCTGTCTACGACTCCTTTGATGCAATTTTCTATGTGAGAATTGGGCAATATAGTAAATAAAACACAACGTAATTTTGCTATTGTTTGTCTCATAACGAGGTAACCATATCCGTGTTTTCATTTTTTGTTCCACTCTTTTTTTTCTTTCTAAATAATGTAATTAGTGACAAAATAATTATTTAGAAACAATCGCCAAAATTTTGAATTACCTCTTCACTAATGAAAAATTATTTAAAAATCATCACCAAAAAACTTTAGCAGCCATTTTATATTTCTGCACATGCATAGCAGTTAAACACTTGCTAGTTTGATTTGTTACATCTTGTGTAACTAATTGTATGCCCCATCATATATATGTGAATGCGATTGCTTTTGTCGCGAAATATTTTTTTTTTCCACAAACTTTAATGAGAGAAAGTTAAAAAGTAATGTTGTCCTTAGACTATGGACTTGGATGAACTTGCGAAAATCATGCAACGTAGGAGAGCAAATCACGGGCACATAATTGTGCCAATTTTTTCTTACGTGGATGATGTGTCTCCAGTAAAAATATAAGTATGTTAATCAATACTTAGGTAAGAATAATGCTACGAAGATTAAATTTCTAAACCTAATAATATAGATGTTGATAATTAAATTATTATTTAAATGTTGATAATTTTGCTTATTTTCTATTGATGACATATAATTTGTTTTACTCATTTGATTTAACTTTTTTATCTCTCTAGCAATAGCATTATACCTTAAGCAATTATCCGATCATCAACTTCTATGTTATTTAATTTACACATTTAGTCTCGCTATTATTACCTTTTGCAGAAGCATTCGCAAGGAGGAGATGGAGAAGGTGGAGGAGTGGATAAGAGCACATAGAGATGTTGCCGATATGGGAGGATTGGTTTTTAGGTACGAGCCGTAGTTTATCCAAGAAAATGTTGAAAAGACAGTTGGAATAGATGATCGCGCGCAACATCTCTGTAAATTTTCTTCTATTAGAAGATGAATCAAGCGAGGTTGGGCTTGCCGTGATCTATGGGATGGGTCGAATCGGCAAGACCACCGTATCCAAATTTGCTTATAACCTGCATTTTGTTAAATTTCAAGGTAGAAGGCTTCCTTTCAAGTATCAGAGAAACTTCATAACAACCCGATGTTTGGTTCGATTGCAAAAGAAACTAATTTCGGACATCCAAAAGGCGAAGGAGGCTAAGAAAGCTACAACGCCAATGAAGGAATAATCAAGAACAAGCATGTTGTATGTTGCAAAAGAGTTCTTGTTGTTGTCAATGATGCAATTCTTGTTGGGTTCGAAAACCGCTGCTGGTGTGGAAGCCAAACTTATCGCCAGACGGAGGCTAAAATGCCTTTATGAATCTTCCCAGCCCCCGAAAATGATGGATAACCGTGACTTGCCACCAATTGTTCTTTGTTTAAACTTTCTTAAAGTTTATATGATGCTCAAGGTTGAAGGACCGAATGAGTACGAATCGCTTGACCTTTACAGTTGGCATGCCTTTGGGCAAGACCATCCTTAGGAAAATGAAGAAATGAAAAAATTGCGGCCGATTGGGGAGTAGGGGATTGATTTCTCAACAAGAAAACTTGTCCATTCTAGTCCTTCCCAAACCGGAAGGACTAGAATTGACAGGAAATTTTTACGTCTAATCCTCTCAAAATGAAAAAAAAAAAACATTTTCATGTACATTGTATATAACTTGAATTTATAGGGTTATCCATTCCAATCCAATCCTAGACACCAACGAGGCCGTTGTTTAAATAAAACATTTCAAGCATATTGATAACCGCTTTCATCTCCCAGTAGTGTAGTACAACATTGAAGGCAGGATGCTGGTGTCTGCTAATCAACCAGCTTGTATAATCTTAATCCTAAAATTTGGCTGAGCTCTATTCCATTCCATTCCATTGAGTTTTTGTCTCAGCTTCTAATCAAAACATAGTGACTTCTAAATAAAACAGAAATGTAACAACTCCGGCACGGATCTCTGATTAGGCCGTTTCTCGCTATCAAATTTAAACAAACTAATACATACCATCTGTAATTTTCAGTATTAGCATTTTTTCATCCAAAACTGTGAAAATAAGCTGTTTTTAAGCTTAGATTTTTTTTTTTATATCCGTTTTTTATAAAAGCAACTCAATACCAAACTAGTACTAATGAATCATAAAACGTCGCTACGTTTCGTTTTTGTTCAAGTCACACAAATACAACATCATAACAGATCGTGTAAGCATTCGCAAATTATGTTCTACCTAACATTTACTACATTGGAATTGGATTGGGCAAAAACCCCCAAAAATCAAGTAGTAATTATCATAAAACACACTACAATTACAAACCGAGAAATTCAACTAAACGAAATTAAAAAAAGGAAGAAAAAAAATTAAAAAAAAAGAGAGCAGAGCTTACAAAATTACAAAGCGAAGCCTTTCAAGTACTCAGGATCGCGCTTAGCCCTCTCCTGAAACTTCTTGAACCACCGGTCCAAGATATCCATGGGCACCACCAGCTTGCTCCCATCCACGCCGCAAAACGACTGCATAAAATTGAACAGATTCTCCCCAACTTTCATCGCCAACCTCTCGATTCGCTTCTCGGCGGTGACGTCCAGCGACGGCAGCGTCGCCAGGTCCTCCACCGACACGCCGATTTTGGCCGACAGCGGCGCCGCGTCGGCTGTGAGCTGCAGCTGCCCCCCCTGCGGTGGCCACGGAAGAGCAAGCACCGCCGACGGCCTAGCCACGGTGATGGCGCCGCAGAAGAAGAAGGCAGAGCCCGGGGACTGGATGTAGACGGCTAGGGCTTTGTCCGGCGGGAGTGTGAAGTTGTTTAAGAGAAATATGCAGAGCTCGCGCACTTGATCGTACTCCTCCCCTGCGCACATTAGAAAAACCATACGTTAGAATGATAAACTGCGCCGACGAAGAAAAAATTGAAGAAAAAAAAGAGGGAAAAATAGGGAAATTTACCGACGAAGGTGTTCATGTCGAGAATCCAGTGGAAGGTGTCGATCTGGGAGAAGGAGGAGATGTCCATTGGGAAGCTGCGATTCGGGAAGACGACTCCGAACATTTTCTTGACTGTTGTGATGAAAGAGGAGACTGGAGATGCGGATAGTGGCGAGAGATTGTGAGAATGTTTGAAAAGTTGAGTGCGTGTTGCGGTTTAACGGTGGGGATTAGAAGGGAGGAGAAGCATCCAGAACAATCTAGAAGAGTTGAGTGCAAAATAATCTAAATTACGAAGAGTTGTGTTTTCTCCTCTCAACATTTAAGTTTGATAGAGTCCGGTGGCTCTAAACTCGTCTAAATTACGAAGACCTGTATATTTTCCTCTCAACATCTAAGTTGTTGGAATCTAAAAGCATCTTCAATCGCGATTCAAATCAAGGACGGAGCCTATGAAGACTTAGAGTGGTCAATTGACCATTCTCATATGTTCATTATATATATATGTATATTCTCTCAACGCATGACCCTTCTCATGCTAGTTACCAAATATGCAAATTTTAAGTCTTTCACTGTATGTTCTAGGGATCATAAGATATAATCATGGTAATATAGATGCCACATATGGTAGTGGTTGTGGTTATTTCTAAATTAAAATTTCATATGAGTGAAATTTACTATCCCTACATGAGGTGAATGTAGGGAAATCAACTTGGTCAATCTAAGGACTTTGTGCTATTGGATAAATTAATTTTGTTATGTCTTAATTTTGTTACTTTAGGTTGATCCTTCTTTTTCTTGAAAATATATAGGAAAATATTTTAGAGATTTTAATTAATTAGGGTCCAAATTTGATTTGATTCTTGTCATGTGTAAAAAGGTTTGATTTTATTTATTTCCAATTACTACTATTTTGTAATCTTATAAAATTTTCTTATGAAAAGGAATAGGGGAACTTTAACGAAAAGCTCCCGGTACTGTTCGCTTTAATGAAAAATCACATTTTTACACTAAAAAGTCAATCCTAGTACTATTCACTTTACCCTTTATTTTGTCTTTATCATTAAAACTCAAAGTTTTCAAGTCATTTTCATTAGTTTTCCTAAGGAATAAAGTATTTTGAAGTTTGAGAGAGCATTAGAGAATCCTGAATTGTTCATAAACCTTATATTTTCAACTTGGTGTCAAAGCAGAGTTCGATTCTTGGTTGAAATCTATTGTGAATGCTTCCTTGTTGGTACACTGAGCTATTTTTCTTCGTGCATCCGCATGCCATGAACTTGAGGGTGAAGATTATCTACAATTTTCAAAAGAAGAAAAAAAAGAAAAAGAAAAAGGAAGAAAGGAGATTATCTACAATTTTCGAAAAGGTTAGTGTTAGTTTCAACATGTCAAGAGAATTATTTGTGGGGCTTTCAAAAAGGTTAACGTTAGTTCTACCAGAGTAAAAGGTTTTGTTGAGCCTTTGAAAAGAGGAGTTCGTTCCAGTTAAACTTTCAAAAAGATTGGTATTAGTTCAAGTTAGTCGTTCGATAAAAGGAGTTATTAGCTTGAAGAACCCACGACCTACATGAGGTGAATGTAGGGAAATCAACTTGGTAAATCTAAAGGACTTTGTGCTAATGGATAGATTAATTTTGTTATGTCTTAATTTTGTTACTTTAGGTTGATCCGACTTTTTCTTGAAAATATATAGGAAAATATTTTAGAGATTTTAATTAATTAGGGTCCAAATTTGATTTGATTCTTGTCATGTGTACAAATGTTTGATTTTATTTATTTCCAATTACTGCTATTTTGTAATCTTATAAAATTTTCTTATGAAAAGGAATAAAGTATTCCGAAGTTTGTGAGATTATTAGAGAATCCTGAATTGTTCCTAAACCTTATATTTTCAACTTGGTGTCAAAACAGAGTTCGATTCTTGGTTGAAACCTATTGTGAATGCATCCTTGTTGGTACACTGAGCTATTTTTCTTCGTGCGTCTGCATGCCATGAACTTGAGGGTGAAAATTATCGACAATTTTCAGAAAAAGAAAAAGAAAAGGAAAGAACAGAGATTACCTACAATTTTCGAAAAGGTTTATGTTTGTTCCAACATGCCACTAGATTTATTCAAGTTTTTGAAAAGGTTCGTTTTAGTTCTACCATGTCAAGAGATTTATTTGTGGGGCTTTCGAACATGTTCGTTCGTGTTTAGTTTTACCATGTCAAGAGATTTATTTGTGGGGCTTTCGAAAAGGTTCACGTTAGTTCTACCAGACTAAAAGGTTTTTGTTGAGCTTTTGAAAAGAGGCATTCGTTCCAGTTGAACTTTCAGAAAGGTTGACGTTAGTTCAAGTTAGTCGTATGATAAGAGGCGTTATTAGCTTGAAGAACCTACGGCCTTGTCTACGAGGTCGAAGAACCCAAAGCTGAGAGGTTCCTTCTTCAACCATGATCGTTTGAATGAAAAGATCAAGTCACACTCCTAGAATGAAGTATAGACTTGGCTGTTTGGCCGCGTATTTGCACCCTCACATTCACACCAGATTCTCCAAGGACGCAGTTATGTCCTAAACTAACAGCATGCCCCCTCGTAGGTTTTGTTTTTCTAGGATTAACAAGTACAATTATTACTAAACTCAAAACAGCAGCATATGCCTATTAACACAAGACAGAAATATATCGATGCATTGAGAGACTTTACCATTCACAACCATTATCTTCTTCCATTGATGGATGAAATCAAAAAGCATACAAAGCAAAACACGTTATATGGAATGAGAGAATTTAGCACTGAACAAAAATGTTCAATATTGGTTTAGTATGGTTCCTTTTTCTTAAAAATTTCTCATAACCGAACAGAACAGAACCGAACCGAACCGTTACTGTTACTAGTTTGGTCACAGTAAAAGCAACATACCAACTCATAATGTAACTCATGAAATTGGATCTAAGCTGCAACCCAAGTGGTGTGACTGGTGTCTTTGAGCAAAAACAATATACACAAATCATTTATCTCATTTAGCATATCACCCCAACATTAAAGCGTCGTTTTACACAAAAGAAATGCTACCAACCAACAAAACAACTTTCAAATCAACCCAACATCTTCGTTGCCTCTAAGTCGGCTGGCCTAGGACGAAAAGCATTGAGAAATCATCCAAGCACAAATTAATCTATATCGCGAAAATCACAACCATCATTTTTGTACAGCTACCATAGCTAAACACTGATTGATACCAGCAAGTAAAGTTCCACACCTCCAGTTTCGAACTAACTCTGCATGATATCTGTGTGATAGCTATCTAGTTCCTTGTCGAGTTCATCAACCGACTTCTCCACATGCTTCTTCCTCCACTCTCCACCACGACCACGCCCACGCCCACGCCCACGACCACTGCCGCTGCCACTCCCACGTGGTTTCCCTCGACCGTTTCTATTCCCTCCACGGCTGCTCCCACTACAAAATACAGATACAATGTAATTGTAATCACAGCTTTAAATGATACTGACTATTACTAAAATCCCACAGCAGCATATATACCATACAGCTGCAAATACCAAACTGAAGACGCATATGTACAGATACATTCAGGTACTGGATCACAAATATTTTTAACTTGTAGGTTTCCCGTTATACTCGTTTTGGAAAAAATAAAACTCTTGGTACCCACAAGCATGTAATTTCTTTCAACATAACTGGGAAGATAGGTAGCTATTAGATGTTCTCAATTTTCACTGCTGGGATAGCTCTTAGTCAACACGTAGATGATGTAGACATTTCATAATTGTACATAAGCATAAGTATTAGATGTGTCTTGATTGCAAAACTTACAAAGATAACAGATACTGAACAAATTGATTCTAGAACCATATCATACCCACAAGAAGTCAAGAACTATATCATACTCACAAGAAGTCAAGAACCATATCATCCCCACAAGAAGTCAAGAACCATATCACCAAAACCAAGCCAGATAAACATCAGTCAACAGGAACATTGGAAACGGTCTGGTTAAATACGGGATTTAAACGTCGGGTTCAAACTACTTAAGAGTACCCTCATACCAAAAGAGAAGTTAAATTAGGGTGCCTAGTATAAATGAAAATTGACAAATAAGTAAAGATCTAAAACTACATTAATGAAACCCTCTTTGTCAACCAAAAGAGGGTGAAAAGACTACTTAGTCTTCTATCACACAAAAAAATGATGGGCAATAATGTAATTTCATAGGTTCAAATTTTACTATTTTTTTTATTGAAGCCTCACCTAAAGGTGATGTTAAAATATCTCCAATATTTAAAATTTAAAAATAAAAAAAACCAAAAACAAAAACAAAAACCTCCCACCCCCCCCCTCCCCCCAATTCCCATGTTCTCCCTCTCTCCTTCCCATTTTTCTAAAAAAATGTGTTCATACACAAAGTGTGTAGGCAAATGCTAGTGTTAGTTAACAAAACTATAATTAGGTCCCTCATAAATAACTAGCTCAGCTATATCACCTAAAAATAAGTTAAGTTCATACAAACAGAGAAACAAGAATATGACGGCCTAAACTCAATTCAGCATACGAATTTGTTCTCACATGGTAAGTGAAATCACTGAGCTTGCACGAGAACCCTCCTATCTGGATGCATAATTGGCATTTGCCTCCAGTCTAGTAGTTTAGGCTGTTAAATTTGAATCTCTAGCCTAACAATTTCACCTTTTTCCATCAATAAAATCTCTACACAAATATCACTTTGATAATAACAGTACACATATAATAAATGGTTTGGGAGGGAGACAAATGAAGGAAGCATGGGGATCAAGGAAAAAACAAGCTTGAAGATCAACCAACGAATTGTGTTACATTTCTAGCTAGGGCAGGCTACATTGAGTTGCAAATTTTAGGTGTCCCTAAGTAAATAAGACGCTGCATTAATTAACAAAATAGCAACTGAATACATCATCATAAGCCTAAAGAGAAATGCAACATTCAAAGCCTTATCCATCTTTAATGATCCACAAACGAACCCAACTTGTCATCTCATGAAGTTTTAAAAATACCAAACTAACAATAAACGTTTTGGCAACCAAACAGACGTAGAACATCATAGAGAGATAGCAATAGAGAAAATACAACAGCAGTCCATCCCCTTTTATCTGTGTGCATGCGACAAAACTTGAATGATTTTATTACTTTAAAAAAAGTACTTACCATGCTCTAACTTTTAAGCCATCGGATAAAACTTTACAGTTAATAAAACACTTGTCATTTACTTGTATGCCGTAAATTGTAATCCTATAAACCATTTTTTTATTAGAACTGTTTTCCTAAAACCATTTTGATTTAAATCAAACGATTATGTGTGCAATCCTTGGACATGGACAAGCAAGCTAATTGTCTGTCTACACTTAATAAAACACTTATCATTTACTTGTGTGCCGTAAACTGTTATCCCATAAACCATTTTGATTTAAATCAAACGA